TTATTTTATTATATCAATTGATACTGATTTTCTGCGATAGGTTGTAATCTATTTTTTGCAAACAATATTGATATTTTGCTCTTGCTTTGTCTTTTAATTTGTCATATGGAACTGTTAGAGAGCGGGGCTCCGTTAAGCTGTTAAACATCTTTTTCACCCTGTTTCTACATTCCTGTAGTGAATGGGAAACAAACTTTATTATTATTATTATTATTACAATTATTATTATTATTATTATTATTATTATTATTATTATTATTATTATTATTATTATTATTATTATTAATATATCCACTCATGTCAGCCTGCGCACTGCAATAAACACACTACAAATAAATTCTACGAAAGTCATGGACTGGTTTGAAGCAAATAAAATCAGAGTGAATGTACAAAAGACAAAGCTTATTTGTTTCCGCAATCCACTTAAACGACAGTGCATCGACATCCCTTTTATATTACATTCGTGGTCTTGTGTATCTTGCACCTGTACACCCATTCCATACCACTATACAGTCAAATACCTCGGACGTTTTTTCGATAGCGCTCTCCTGGAACACACACCTTGATTATCTGGCTAAAAAACTACGAGGTGTATATTGTCTGTTATACCATGCAAAAACGTTCCTCCCAATCTCCGTCAGAAAGACAGTCGTGAATGTTCTTGCCTACGGAGTTCTTCGCTAATGAATTACTATCTTTGCCCACTGCTCAACCCTCTGGAGAACGAAAATTGACGCCATTCTGAGCCACATCGTGAAAAACGTTGCATATAATCCGAATCTAAACCAGGACGATGATATGTTCTCTTATGTGGGCTTGCCGCGTTTTCTACCCCTTTTTCATAGATCTGTCATCCTAGGACATTGTTGGCTCAGAAAATTTAAAATACCTCGAACTGCCCAGCGCTCTATAAGAAAAAGTGAACACTTTATAATTCCTCGCGTATACACTTAATATGAAAAATGTGTTCGGTCGTATTATGTTCCTTGCATATTTAATAAATTACCAGATTTTCTTGATCAAATTGACTCTCAGCATGTCCTAAAAAAACGCATAAAACAATTGTGCTAGTAGCAGCCTATTGTATGATACACAACTGGAATCTCTCTATGACCGACAGGAGGCTAGTTATTGTTACCATGCGAGTGACTGCCCGACCATCAACCTATATGTCCGCATGATGTTTAATTGTATATATGTATTTAAGTGTAAATTTACGTGTAGATCTAGGCATACACGTCGATATGCGTTGTGGTGCACTTGATGTTGTATATATGCCCAAGTACTCATTTATTTGTGTGTGTAACCCGTGAAACAACTTTAAATTGTGTATAACTGTCTTGTATTTGCGCCTGAGAACAATCAGACTCATCACCACGGAGTCTAGTCGCACAAGCCGACCCTGGCTTCGACTGACCCGCCTCGTACGTGCTGAAGAAAGAACAAACCGAATAAAATTCTTCTTCTTCTTCTTCTTCTTATTATTATTATTAATATTATTATTCTCTTCTTCTTCTTCTTCTTTGTGTTGTTCTTGTTGTTGTTAGATCCTTTGGATTACCAAAATTAGAAAAACTTAAGCGTTTGCTGCAGCGCTGCCTGGGTACGATGCTGTATGATATGACGTCTGGTTTTTTGCGCCTTGGGTCGAACTGAGCCAAAGCTAAGCCTGCACACCGCACGCGTACGTGCCCATGGGATCGCTTCTTCCTTGTCCCCACAATGTGCTGTGTGTTTCTACCAGTGTACCTTCCAGTGCAGACACGAACTTGAAATAAGAGGTCAAGTGAATCGAGTCCCCCGTTTCACGCGACGGAGCCTTCAGTTCTTTCCATGCTATGTGTATTCTTCAGACTGTAACATTACGCGATGTAGTCGAACAATTATTTTGATTTTTTTTTCTTGTATATGAAACCTAGAGGCAAGGGTAGGATTATCTAATGTGACGAGTATCATGCATTGAAAACAACAAACAGACAAAAAGAAACTAATTTCATTCCGGGGAACAATGCCCTTTTTTCCTTGCCTCACTATGTCGGAAATTGCCTCGGCGTAAATGAGGCAATTATATGATTGCCTCCTTACTTTAATTGTAACATCATTATCCCCCTCTCTTAAAACTACGTTAATAAGACTTGTTTTATATTTTTATATTTTGTTTGTAACCAACTTTTGTATGTAATTATAGCCATTCTTTTTTATTTATACTGCGCCAATCCACGCAGCCACGAATATTTATACGCCTCCTATTGTGATATAGCAAACTTGAAAAAAGAAACTACAGTAAAAAGATATAGAAAATATGCACAAACTCTCTTTTGTGCATCTATAAATATATTTATACTTTATACTATTGCCGTTATATTGATATTGTAATAGAACAGTATATATTCTTTTTTTGTGTGAAGAACGTATTTAAACCATATTACGGCATTCCGGCTTCCGTATTGCTACTGGTTTTGTTCTCGTAGGCGAGTGCTGTAACATTGTGGGTTACCTAAGGAGATTGAGGTCGTGGATGATAAGACCCGTGTTTTTTGCACCGACCGCCTTGTGCCTGACGCAGGAGTAGTAGATTTAGCGCAATCCCGCACTTCCATGTGCCTAAAGTCTTGTTCACATTAACTGATCTACTGGCTTTGATGACGCGCGGTAAGCTTATAATTTAAGCAACATGTTTTTGGACTAATTAAAAGGTAAATTAACATATTTTGTTAATTAAGAGACTTATCCTGACGATAGGCATCCTATACTTTGTACCCCTGGCGAAAAACCTCACCTCCACAGACTGCACTTTTGTGCCGTTTACGGCCTTTATCTATTCGAGTTAAAATTAATCACCCAGTAAAGGTTTTTGCATGTGAAACTTATTCTTGTGCATCGCTCATTTATCAGCGCGCTTTTTAAATGTCTTAATAAAACAAACCTAACAGCTGAGGGATAATGTTCTATTCATACTTGGTTCTTGACCTACTCCATGTGGCCGTTTTTGTTTTATTTATACAAAACAGAGTATTAATTATTAATTTATTTAGTATTACTGTCATTTTATTATGAAACGTTAGTTGAGCGGATACGAAGTTTTGAAGATTATACGTTATTAGGTATGTTAGTTTAAGAACATACAGTAATGTGGAGCAAGTTGCACAAAATGAAGAGTGAACTCAATCAAACTACACAAATTAAGATACATATAATAGTCATATTTGAACAATAAAAAACATACGTATTTAATATAAAAAATAAAGGGCGCAATTAATACGTATTATATTAGAGAGAGTTTTAGGCGACCATTTTTGCACATCCGATAGGGCACGATGGGCCCTCTAATAGGAACTCTGCATATGCTACATCAGAAGACTCGCACATGCGCAGATCGTACCGGAGGGCTTATCGTACCGTATCCGATACACAGAGAAACGGTTATCTAAAACTCCCTACTATTAGTAACCCAATATTATGCACAAGTGACGTAAGTTAGTAATCTAATGCATTTGGGAACGAATCTTCAGCGGACTTGTACGCATTACTGAAAACATTTACTAATTTTAATTACAGTTGCTTGACAGTAAAAAGTAACCAATTACAATTATAATTAGAGCCTCAAAAACATAATCGAAAAAGTACTAAGTAATTCATTACTCTTCACGAAAATGTTATTATTATATATATATATATATTTTTTTTTTTTTTTACGGTAACATATTTTGACAGAAGAACCAACGGGAAGACAGACGTGAGCCCCGTGAGCCCCACAGACCCAAAGCTCCGTACGTATCTCGGTTAGGGCTAACACGCCCTGAGAGTGGAGAGTCAACTTGAAAACAGGGGTCGATTAAACACTTCACGCGACAATATTTTGCATCCTTGCCACAATCGAAGGTCATTTTGTCGAGACTTTCACGCTGATGTAGCCTAAAACACTTTGCACAACCAATTTCGTCCACCGCGTCGACCGCGACAAACCAGCCGCCATGTTTTTAATCCAGGATTAAGAAACAACCAAAAGCAAAGCACCCAAGTTTGAGCGCTTAAGTTAAGCGTAGTTTAGTGCTAGGTTTAGCGATAAGCCAGTTTGGTGCAACCGAACGAAACCGAAACTAAGCTTAGGTTTCCGGCTAAGCTCCGCTTTGCGCTAAGCGGCGTTGGTGCAACCGGCCCTTTGAGAAAGAAAAGTTGACCGTTGCACAAAGCTGAGTGAATCCAGCACATATAGCCCCCACTCCACCCCCCCCCCCCCCCAGACCGCCCCACACACGCACACCGATAGAAATTGAGAAAAATTGCAAAAGATAATTTTGTAATCGATTACAGCAAAAAAGAAATTCACTTCCAAGGATCGATAATTCTTCAAGGGAATAATTGAAGCGTTAAAAAATTACAGTAAAATGTAATGGATTACAAGCAATCCATTACTATTAACGCGTTACGTACAAGTTTGATTTCTTCAGACGTGGAGGGAACAATGGTGTCAGGGATACGATTCCGTCGCGAAACTATACCTGTGGGAAACCTAAGTATACAATTTTTTTTTTAATTTGTAATATAGTATAAGCATGCACTTACGTTTACCGTAACTCCTCTGAGTGGAAAGACCTTCTCGGGCGGCTTCTCGTTGGGGACGTAGCGGAAGATCTCGTGATCTAACCCCCACTCCACCCGCCCCCCCCCCCCCCAGACCGCCCCACACACGCACACCGATAGAAATTGAGAAAAATTGCAAAAGATAATTTTGTAATCGATTACAGCAAAAAAGAAATTCACTTCTAAGGATCGATAATTCTTAAAGGGAATAATTGAAGCGTTAAAAAATTACAGTAAAATGTAATGGATTACAAGTAATCCATTACTATTAACGCGTTACGTACAAGTTTGATTTCTTCAAACGTGGAGTGAACAATGGTGTCAGGGATACGATTCCGTCGCGAAACTATACCTGTGGGAAACCTAAGTATACAATTTTTTTTTTAATTTGTAATATAGTATAAGCATGCACTTACGTTTACCGTAACTCCTCTGAGTGGAAAGACCTTCTCGGGCGGCTTCTCGTTGGGGACGTAGCGGAAGACCTCGTGATTTCCTTTGTACCACTTGACGGAGTAGAGTGGGGCATTGCCCAGCTCGAAGTGGCACCGCAACTTCGCGCTGCCTCCCAGAAATGCGTACGGCGGGGCATCCACGCTGACGAGTCGCAGTTCAGCCGAGTTCCTGCCAGGGGCTGCAGAGGATGCAGGTAGAATTGTACGTGGACCCACGCTGGTATTTTGACGAATTTATTCGTACAACCTCAGTCCATAATTTCCATCAGACGCACAATTGCCCTGGATGAATTTTTTTCTACTCACTCTTCCAATGCGCTCCAACATTCAGTAGAGACAAGCAAATTGCTAGTGTCCGCGTGCACTCTCAACAGCTCATTTCCAACAGTGTCTTCCCTTTTAGTCAATGTCAGATTAGGGGGGGGGGGGGGGGGACACTAACCAAAAAGTAAAGGTTTAAATCACTTGTCTGTTACGAATGACAAAACAGGGCTTGTTTCTGTTGATGTTGAGAATGTTTCTGCAAACATTTGTTAACCTAGGAGAATTTAAAAAAATGCAACTGTTGAAAAATGAAAGTGAGAGTATCTGCGTAGAAAACCTATTCTATTGAAATTGCTTAAAAATGTTTGTTTTCGTCGGTTATATATTTAGGCCAGTGCAAAGCAGATAGCTATGATGATATTTTTCTATAATATACCATCTTTCATGACAAGAAATCACAAACACAAATGCTGTTTTTTTTAGATTACCATCTTTTGTCCACAATTTTAGTTATTAGCATGATAAATGAAATAAAATACATGCTCATAGCCATCTTCCTCTTAAAATGCCATTACAAAAGCTCGTAAAAATGAACTCAATTTAAGTAATAACAAAACGATAATTTACCTAGAGTGAAATGTATGCTAAAAAGTGGAATGGAGAAAAATGCGTTCAAAGTGTTCCAACCCCTGCATTTTTTGGCATCGGTAGACCGAAAATAATTTATAAACAAAAATGGGGACGCAGTATAAACTAATGAAACTTTCTGAGAGAACTCCCTAGATGTTGGTAGATGTAAATATAACATTGACCAAAATCAGTTTCTTTTTACAATTTTTTGTTGTTGTTTAGTGTCCTTCTTAAAGAAGCGCAGAGGACGATCGTTACATTTGAGCTTTTTGAATTATTCGTTGCCCTGCATTATTAACGACAGCTATCACAATCTCATTTGCAGCGAAGCCATGGTAAAAATCTAGTTTTTGACCGCACCCTGCGTCTTTTAAGCTGTCACTCGCAATATGTTTGGCTAAGACGTTGGACTTACCTTGAGATAGGGCTTCGAGTTTCCAATATGACAACCAAGCGTTGAGTGGGTCGATGGCCGGGACAACTTGCATTCTCATATCAAAATATCTAGGCTCCACGGTAAGAAACAGTAAAGCTTTTTTTTTCTCTACCGCATACGTAATCTATCGGAATTGTTTTTCAATAAAAAAAATCTAACTGCTTTTCAACAACACGTTGTGACGGTAATGTTTATGGAGCTTAGGCATAAAGAACAGAACAATGCATACCTTTATGGATAGCGGTGATCGATCCGTTTCCCATGACTGTGCGGAAATGTGGCGCACCGCTGGCGATTTCGCAGCTGTACTCCCCCTTTGCGGCCTGGTTCACATTTTCTAGCAGCACCGATGTCCTGTTGCTTCGCTGCAACTGAAAAATAAAACGACACGAACACGAATCTCTTGAAGCAAAAGAAGGAACTGAGGAGCCAATCCGAGGACTGATTATCCATGAACAATGAACCTTGAGGCACTATGTAGACCGGCCTTTGCACGTTCTGAAACATTCTGCAGCTCCAACCCTGTGCCACGCGGTTCGATTCCACTGTGAAAATTATTGCCGCTGGCGGCGCCGCGGCAAGATTCGCAAGGTTTGGTCTTAGTTGAGTCGTCCACGAGCGTATTTCACCGCAGCGATGCCATATGTTGCTTACAGAAAGCGGAGGGGTACAACAGGTTTCAGGGACTTTTTCAGGGACAACTGAAATTGCACACAGCAACGCGACCAAACTAACATTCATAATTTTACCAGAACAATGTGCTGAAATTTGCACTTTTCCTAAGGTTATGTAATCTACAATTAACATCGTATCGGTAAAGTCTAGTGCTTTTCTGCTTTATTCAGCCCTGTGAGACTCATCTCGGTAAAATAAAAAAGAATGCAGCGTGGATCTATGCTAGAAACAAAAGAAGCAATCCTTCATTTTTTACCGGTTGTGCCAATAAAAAAACGCACTTCAAGTTTACGAAGCTTCCACAAGGAACCGTCGACGTCTTTTGATACGCGGTTATCTTCCGTTAGAGGCCTCCATGATTAAACCTGTCCCGTCAACTGCTCCCAGGCGGGAGGTCGTGTTACACGTGTGGGTATGGAGGCGCTACAGCTCCGCTTAATTTCCTTGAATCATCGCGGACAAAGGCCATTGTTCTAAGAAGCCAAGAGGAAGTAACCATAATGTAGTGTTTGTAACATTATCTGGCTCAGGGCTTTTCTTTTAATTTTTGTTTACTTTTGATATAGTGTAAGAAGGAGGTGAAGCATGCCGGTTAGTAATTTTTTATTGTTTACGCTTTACAGCGATTAAGAGTGTGCACAGTAAAGCACTGTGTGCAATATAGAATGCTTCGCCCTAAAAGTTGTCATTGAAGTCATTTGCTTTGCCCGCCCTCCTATTTGTTGCTGTTTTATAGGTTGATTTTGCACGTCTTTAACCGTAAAACCCTATATAACTTTTCATTATCTCGTATATAGAGCGTGCAAATTGAACTGGAATTGGTAATGAAAACCTTAAATCCAGATTGCATACAAAGGTATGATTTCTGAAAACCTGATATTCAGATAGAATCCGGATATATTTCCTGTTCTATAATCTAGAAAGCAACAAGTTATGCAGGGGTATTTGGTATTGATATTGATGTACAGTGCTCCCCAAACTTAAGGGCGTCATAAGATTCTTATCTTAATGAATTACCCGAGACTGCGGGCAGAAACCTAGAAACATCAACCGCGGAAGAGAAAGAGAAAGGTAACAGGAGAACAGTGTCCAGATTTTGTTCTCCTGTCACCTTTTTCTTCCCTCTTCCACGGTTGGTGTTTCTAGGTGTCTAGCCCAAACCCAGCTAATTCATCAAGATAGTAAATACACACCAGCTCCCCTGGGCTTTCAATATATTGCCAAACTATTTCTTTGTTTTTAGCACTAGTTGAACTTTTCCTTTGCCTACCGTTCGAATTACGTGTTAAGCTTTATTTGGCTCTGCGATCAGGTTCCATGTCGGCCGAAAGTATACCAGTCGCCACATTGGCCAATTAGGTTTTGTAGGGCCGACAAGATATATTTGATAAACTAAGGGGGGGGGGGGGGGGCGTTTATTTTGGTGTGGACCTGCAGACTGTTTTGGTCAGAAACCCGATGAATAAATAAAATGAGAACATTTGCACACCTCTGGTCTGCACTGTTCATTTTACAGCTGAGCGTATTATATCATAGTTACACAAGCTTTTGGAACTGCCATCGAGCCAACGATCATTTGCATCTTCCAACTGTAATTGAGCTAAACTAAGTTCTCCCATGTTACAAGTTACATAGGTCTAACGACCCCTACTTTCGATCCCAGATTTATTGAAAACGAAACATAAACCAATATCACATTAACTTTTTAAGTGGTACAAATTAATTAAATGCACTTTTCTCTTGCAAACGTTCAATACAAAATAATATATATTTATTATTATTTTTTTTTAGAGTTGAGAAACAGTAATTAAAACGTTTCGCACGAATTCAAGAAAAAGAGTCAGAAGGAAAGTCTTACTCGCACCGACATCACAATCGTATCAGTCTTATCGGCACCGACATCCGCGGCGAACCCTGATCATTTTAGTGGCAGCTCTGGCTTCGAATCATACGTCTTCTGGCTTATTTGGTACAACGATTCTTTCTAGATACATTTACCTCCCCAACCGTCCGTAATAGAAGGCGCTTCGCTGGCACTTGCCATCGGCGGCAATGCGGCAGACGCCTCCATGTTTCGATTGATTGGGGCCAACCCCCGTCGGTTAACTGAAATAGGCCAGCTGAGTCGAGCCCAGTGATGGTTAGCGGCTCATTGACAGTTGACGCTGCTGCGTAACTCCGGCAGCCCGCGATTGATTTGAGTGTTGGCTCAACGACAGCTAAGAGTGCTCGTGTAACTACCCAAGCAGCACAAATTTGGCCTGTCATCGGCCAATGGCTGGAAATGGTCCTTAGCCAAGTGGCCAGGCAGTGGTCAGAGACTGGCCGGTGACTGGCCTTCATGTAGCCATTGGCCAATGGCCACTGGCCATCAGCCATCGGCCAAGCATTGGCCAATGAATGACCACTCTCTGGTCACTGGCCAAAAGACGATCGCCAGACATTGGCCATTGCTTGGCCAAAATCCGTGCTGCTTGGGTAGGGTATCTGTTCAACTTGATCTTTCTTATTGCTTTCCCATTTGCACATATATTTACCACTTTTAACCCATCATCCTTTAACCGGAGGCTTCAAATGATCCCTAGAGCGTTATAGGCCAGATGTCGGTAATCCACGACCCACCTGCCGCATTCGGCCCGCAGGGCGGTTTCATGCGGCCCCCGGCACGACACCTGAAAAGGACTCCTACCGCTGCCGCTTCCTCGCACAGACCCGAGGACAACGCGACAGTTTTGAGCAAACATCTGGTTACAAAAGAAAGAAGAGCACTTCCAATTGGCATTTCCCCGCATCCCCTCCATAATTCGGCAGAGAATGTCTTTACTTCGTTTTTGACTCTTCCTCGCCTGTTATAGGCAACTCTGTTAGAAGCGATCGTTTTCATACCTATTCTTATTACGTAGATTTATTGCATAAGCTCGAGTCTAGTTACACAAAATTGAAAGTATTCCAAATGAACCAGACTGAGTACGTCAACATGCCGGTGTGTTATCTTGCCATAAACGAGCACGCCACAGTGAGTCACGCTCAAATAAAACTTTGTTAACCATCCTTCAGGTGCTTTTGCGGAAACCATTCCTAAGAGTCGCCGGAGCGCTGAAATTCATCATATTATACACCCCCTTTCTCATTAAGTTGGACAGCCACCGACGACGAACTAATACAGGCAATCAGGTGGCGTCAAAAAGTGCTTTGTGACGGCGCACACGTTTTCTTTGCGTTTGCCATCAACCGCTAACACGATCACGCACAGTAAAAAAAACGCAGGATCACGAGGCCTTCTCTGCACGTCGATGGTTTAGTTGGGAATATCGAGCACGAATAAAGACGATGAGTGGATTACATCTAAATTTTGGCCCTGCTTAATTTGCTCCATAAAAAAAGTAGTTTCAGCTTCGGGCGGATTTGGAATGGAGCGCAGCCTAGATGCTACGACAAAGTGTGTTTCCACTGCCGTGCAGCATTTTGACCCGTGCAATACTATACTCTCCCTTCACCGCTAAGCTGTCTGAGCGGCTCAAGCTACGTGCTGGTTCGACCAGTCAATCGCCGGTCTTGTACCGCGTGATCAGGTACTTTACGCGTACTTCAAGAACGGGATCAGACAATAAAAAAAAGGAACAGATGGATCGGAATGACCAACATGAAGCTTTTATCATCCTGTCAGTTTAAAGGGTATTCACAGGGGGGAAGCTTCTCGGTAAGGGATGAGCGTGACGTCAATGATCAGCGGAACAAGCGCGACGCCCTCCTGATTTGCAAATGACTGGGAGCCTTCAGTGATATCCAAATCAGACGCATTTAGCGGTCGCACTTTGGACAACAGTGCTTGGTGCTAGCCGATGATCATAGAGGAAGGAAGGCCTATGGAAAACGGCGAGACGCGATTATAGCAGCAGCGCTGTTAGATGCAGAAGACGACGAACTGCTTCCCGCTGAAAGAAAGATGCGTCTTTAATCGGTGCAACGAAAATATTGAAAGACGTTTACAGACCTCTGTAATGCGAAATTAGAGCGCAGCTCTCAAGGTATCTTCATTTTGCGATATACGGTGCAAAAGAATTTGAGGAAGAAATATCTCTATGTACACTTCGTACTCCTGTGTACATAATATATACAGGGTGTTTCAGAGAACGCAGGCCAAATCGCTCCTTCGAAAACTACTCATCGCAACGACAAAAGGCTTGTGGCGTTTGGGTCCTGGGCCAGGGGCTCATTTAGGAAAATTATGAAAGTTCAAGATTATTAAGTTGTTAATTATTTTTGCGTAATTAACTTTTTTTAATATTGTGTTTAAGGGCATGGTTTATATTAGAAAATGGTTTATATTAGAAAGAAAAGAAAAAAACGAACAGGAAATCAACAAAGTGCAGATCGATAGAAGGCACGCGAAGCATTTTACGGCTTTCTGAAAAACCGCACAAAATCGACGGGTTGTAAATTTTCGGTTTGCTATCAGAGCGCATCTCAGCCCCGGCGGCACCGCGCCCAGTAGAGAAATATTGCAACCAACCTCTGGTGCGCCGTCATCGCGCGACGCAGCAGAGGCTGGCTGCACTATCTCTCCACGCGGCGCGGTGCCGCCGGGGCTGAGATGCGCTCTGATAGCAAACCGAAAATTTACAACCCGTCGATTTTGTGCGGTTTTTCAGAAAGCCGTAAAATGCTTCGTGTGCCTTCTATCGTTCTACAATTCGTTGATTTGCTGCTTTTCGATGATGCTGGGCAATTTTTAAATTTAGACCATGCCCTTAAACACAATATTAAAACAGTTAACTACGCAAAAATAAGTAACTTAGTTATCTCGGACTTTAATAATTTCCTAAATGCGCCCCTGGCCCAGGACAAAAACGCCACAAACCTTTTTTCGTTGCGATGAGTAGTTTTCGAAGGAGCGATTTGGCCTGCGTTTTTTGAAGCACCCTGTATATATATATATTAACATATATTATTATATTATATATATATATATATACCAGGCGGAAGAGGGGACGGGAGAGTACGGAGGACCATCCCCTCCTTTTTTTTTGTATTCCCTCCACTCTTCCCACAGTTTTCCCGTTAAATCTAGCGGCGAAACTGAATTGGTGTTGAGGTCATGTGACGTACGTGTTTCCACTAAAGTTAGCCGGGAAACTGAATGCACAGTGTTATATTATGGGACGTCACAGAGCTATATACACCAATTTAGTGTCTTCGCTGAATTTAGCGGGAGTTGAATTGGTGTATAGCTTTGTGACGCCGACGCCGACGCCGCGAAACACAGGAACGAGCGCCTAAGAGTTGCGCTCTAAAATAGGTGGAATCGGAAACCAGTTTTATAAGGGGGAGCTCGAGGGCCGCATTAATTAATTTTGAAGAATCTTTAGGTACCTCAGACGACGTTCGAAATAGCTCAATCCCAAAGTTAGGTGATTCCGATGCCATCGCCGGTATATCGCTAAGCGAAATTTGTAAAGTTGCCAGGCACACGAACAAAATACCGCCAATTGCAAAGAGATCCCACGCAAAGGCGGGGAGTGCTTCTGCAGCCCAAGTAAAAGCTCCTTCATTCCCCTGGAATGCCTACGTCAGAGCGGCTCCGCGCAAAAGTGTGACGTTGCCACTACGTGATCCGCTTCCAGGGGAGCAAAGGCAGGGATTTCTTCCCCGTGTGAATACCCCTTTAGCGGAGAACAAGGTATACTGCCAAATCAAATTGTTTACTGTGCGTCGTGTTGCTGTGATTAAAAGGCTGAGCCTTGCTGTACGAGTATATTGTTCGTTCATATCAAAATAAATTGTCTAGCGTCTAGATTGTTCTTGGTGTAGCTATTAGCATCTAAACATTCGCTGTAAGTTTTTCAACTAGTGATTGCTTGATCAATCGGACAATAATAATATTACTAAGACTAAAAATGAGGATACTCAGTTGTACTACTGTTCTCACATACTTAGTTAATTTGCATTGGACGGCGCGCCAACTGCGCCGATTTCTCCCCTTTAGGTTTGAACGTCTCGCATCGCCGTAATAAAACAAAAAAACGTTTTGCTGTAAAACTGTTTAGGAAGCAAGCTACGACAAATATTGAGCAAAGATTTGCGTCAACCGAATGGCCTGCGGGGCGCCTTTAGCCCACTGGCGCGAATTCTTCTTAACCGCGAATTATATGGCGACAGGTGGCGCGTCTCACCACTCTCAATGTAGGGCGAAAAAAAAAAAAAAAACAACACAAGGGTGCGGCTCATCCAGCCCTTGAAAGTGCGTATTCTTGTCCGCTCTCACTCAATTGCAATATTGGGGAGTAGGACGTATTCCTTCTAGCGAAGTTTTGAGTACACTACAGCGCTATATTAGTGATAAAGGGATAAATCACCGCTAAGATACATTCAAGCCAGCGCTCACTCAGTGCTGTTGGTAGTGTTGATTTAGGGCGTAATATGTGTGTGGACGGCCGTTTGGTTGCAAGTAAACATTTAATCAATAGTACAAAAGTACCAAAAATGACAGTGACAAAGAAGAGTGGATACAACGCAAGGCAAACTTGCAACTGAAGTTTATTTAGAAAAAAAAAACATTATGTAATTCGATGTAGAATGCTTATTCGCCACAAATATCAATGAAACCCCTTGATAAAATCGAACATTTTCTGAGAGGTCAAGGGAGGGTTAGCTTACGCGCTCATTTCCCTTTTCCCTAATCCCAAACGCCTAGTGAACTTCCCAGCACACTTTTTTTTTTTTCATTTTCACTAGAATCGTAACGTCACGCAGAACTGGTGAGCGTGGGAAATGGCCTCGATAAATGGAGATTACCAGGAGGGATTGCTGTGTTGGCTGCCGCATGTTCGCGCGCATGGTGATTGACACACGTCTGGCCAAAGTACACAGAACCGCGTGTCAGCGGTATAACGTACACCACTCTAATGGAACACTCAGCATAATTGGATCACGGTTTTACGTTCCACAGATCCTTAGTGAGCTGGGGTAAATTCCCCAGATAAGAGCTTCCTACAACTTAGCAGCTTGGGCGAATTGGTTCCTCATATAAAAACATACTACAGCGCACTACTGAAAAAGTCCACTCACTCTGTACACTCATCCTTTACAATCGAAAAAGAAAACTGAAACGAACAGCGCTGACCCGTAACTCTTTTTATGTACTTTGCCTTGTTCTATACATCTAAAAAACAAAACAAAAAAAAAAACAAAAAAAAAAACGAATTTTTCGATTCACGCGCAACTATTTCTTAGACGCCAAGAAAATGTGTCTTTTTTATCAGGTTCAAAGATGGTGAACTAATACAGTTTTTATAATTCCTGACGATATGTTCATACACTGTCGCATTGAGCATACACTGTCGTCATTGTGGGTGTTAGGTTCACCTGCCTTGTACAATTTTAGATCAGCACAGTAATCAACTTCTTGGGAAATTATTGAAGCCCAACACATTGTCAGGAATCATAAAGGGTGTAGTTGGACACCATCTTTGAACTTGACAAAAAAAATAACAAACTTTCTTGGCGTTTAAGAAATAGGTGCACGTGATTTGGAAAAATTCGGTAGTTTCAGACGTAAAAGAAGACAAAGTACAAAAAAAAGAGCTGCGTCTAAGCGCAGTTTGTTTGATTTTTTTAATTATTTTTCTTGTATAAGGAGTGAATGTACAGTATGAGTCTACTTTTGCAGTATCGCGCTGTAGTGTGCGTTACTATGAACTTCCTACAAGTAGCGGCATTTTTGAAGCACCCACTGCGTGAAGGTGTAGGATTTAGGAAGCGAATGGTGGCGCACAGCAGAGGTTTGAACTCAATGTCGCCATGTTGTTGCAACGGAATGTGCTTTGTCAGGCGTATTGGTTGTCGCTACTTGTAAAAGGATTATCAAGGGATTTTAGGCTGGTGACCTTTGATTCTGCGGCACAGACGTATCATTTTTGGCTGTGTTCTATTCGATCTCCTTTGTCATTGCCATTTTTAGGCGCTTTTATATATTTGGATATAAACAAACTGGCAAAACGCTTCACTTTGCTACTAAATTATTAATTATTGCTAAATGTCAAGTCAAAACGTTTTTGCTGGCGCCTCGTCTAGGGTTCAGATGGAAGCATTCAATAAACATACGTTGACATCGGCTCCATGCAAGGGGTAGGCCCTACCGCCGGATTCGAGGAATTTGTAGAAGAGCACGTCGTCCTTGTACCATGACGTGGACAAGGGGACTTGGCCCTCCAGATCATACGTGCAGTGCAGCCGAACCGAACCGCCCTCCTCGGCTCTTGCGGGAATATGGACGCCGAGGAGCTTCAGCGACGTCGCAGTCATCAGCGTCCCTGCATAGGAGTGAGCCCCAAGGCGATACGTCCTTCGTATACTCCGTTATTCGTCGAGTCGGACCGCAATCAAATGCTACTATGCGTTTCCACCAGTCAAGCGGTTCCAAAATTGCATCGGTATTGCGATTGCTCGTCGTCATTATGTGTTTCCTACCAACAGCGAAACCAATGGCACACACAAAACAAATTAGAAAAGCGCAGGATGGCGACGCCTCCCGGCATCGTGTGATTAATTTAGCATGCTGAGAGCAAGCGCGAAAAGATACGGATCGCCATGATGAAACACTTCGGGATGCTACTTGCTTCGTTCCAGTGGATCGGAGCGTTGACTGTGGTAGTTGTAATCTGAACTGAAGAGCAGGGATCCTGTGTTCACTGTCATGTGCCAACCGCCTGACTGAAATACGAATTATAATTAGCGTAATAAAATCGGTATAAAATAAATCACGGTTTATCGTCGCGTCCGGCGCCGACAGTCGATGTGATGCAAAATCTGCTGCACACACTTCCCTGGGAATACTCTGCCGACAATTTACGTTTCAAAGATTAAAATTCAAGTCGCGTGGACAGCCTACAGGTGCGGAATATATGAGGATGTCTTTGTTCTAGATCGTAATAACGAGACGTGACAGAGTTTTGTAAAGCACAGAGTTTCTTCGTTATGATTCATGTATCGTACGAGCTTCTTTGTGAGCAAGGAAAGCCGTCCGTGGTTAACGCGTGACGCGCGTGAGGCGTTTTAACGCTCAGACTATACGTACCATGGAAGGATTATAGGCATGGAGTGCGGACGAGAGTCCGCAAAAATATACGGTACACCCAATCACGCTGCACGGCAAACATCACGTCGTGTGACGTCACAATATCACGTGAAGTCATGCTGTCAAATGATGTCTCGAGACACCATAAAATTTGAAAATGGAGAAATGTTTCCCGCTAAATATAGGAGGAACGTTTTCAGACCAAATGCAGGGCAGACATTTTCCTGCCACGGCAACCCTATCAAAACACTTGTACATACGGTTTACAAAAATAGACATTCAATTTGATTTTTATGGGGGAATACTGCACTAACAATAGTGTTCCCTTATAGTTAACCATCCCCAACTGTGAAGAGAGATCGGCCCCTTGTTTTTGAATAATAAGAACGTGCGTACAGTGGTCTTCTTTGTTGACCCAAAATAACGATGTAATGCGTTGCGAAGAGTTTTATTTCTGCAAGGAGCTGCAAATAAAAAATTGTTAATTCGGCATGTGTTGGTAGGATACAAAGCCTGTCGTACTCTACTTTTAAGGATCGATAATTAAAATAAAACAATCCATTAGTTGTAGATTCGATAGCACTTGCCTCTCAGTGTTAGTTACAGAGGATGAAATAAACCAATATACTTGGTACTCGTTCCAGTAATTCGATTATTACCGGAGTGGTGAATTTATGCGCATTCTTCTGATTTCTGTTCGTGACGTCATGACTAGAACTTGCCTCGCCCTGAAGTCACGTGAGGAAGTAAAAAACGCACGTTTTAAAATATTGGTTATATCACGATCTCTTCAAAAAGTCATCCAGTTGTGACGGAGGAAGGTGAGAGTGGATTATAAAAAAGGTAGGGCTTGGAGGCTACATGTGGCAGGTGACGCCTTATGAGCAGACGCAACAAGTTTGGGATTCGAAAATGGTACAATGTCGATTCTCTGATTAGTTTTATCCGCTGAGGTATGGGTGCTAGAGCCTTGTGGGGGTCCAGGCATCGTACCTGTCTTGTCCTGTTTTCTCTGGGAGTGAGTTTATAGCGTTATTCCGATGTTCGCCAACACCCCCCCCCCCCCCCCCTTGCACGTTCAGACACGAGATGTAATCCTCGTGACTTATCGTCGTTTGAAAATTACAATTTTTTTCAGGTACGTGTAAAAAGCACGTTGGGAACTCGGGGCTCACAAACACAAAGTTTCGAGTCTGATTTTGTGTTTATTTTTTTGATAACAGCAAGTTTAATCAAAATAATCATGGATTAGTGAGAGTTCGACCAATCGTGAATGCCGACCACCGCGAAGCTTTTGTTTGTAACCGTGGCCAATACTCACCTGAAGGACGGTGACCGTATTTTTCCGATGCCCGGATTCCAGCATACATTTGCTCTCTTCCGATGTGATTTGGCTGCGCGTGCACGCTCAAAGTTAACGAGGTTTTGAAGTGTCCTCAAAAGTACACTCTAAAAAAGTTGCAGTCTGACACCCGTTTGTCCCATATCACCCCAAAACTTCAGTTGGACGTACATCGCACTGGCGTCCAACATACGGCCCCAACGTTTACGAGGGACTTGATAACGATGCGATATACCTTAATAAATAACTGAAGTACGTGCTAACAAATACAGAAAAGACCCCGTGGTTTTGCAGTAAGGCTACGAAGACTCCGATTACTTTTTTTTTTAGCAAGACGTGCATTAGTTATTTTAGGAGTTTGTACCGCTCGCCTATCAAGGCACTCGTGGAAGTTGGTACCGTCGGTTTGACGTCAGTGCTCAGTACATTGAACTGAAGTTTTGTGGTGTCTTATATGGGATAACAGGAAAAAGAACAAAGCTTTTTTTTCTGAGAATATGTGAAGCGCAGGCGGAGCTACTGAAGTTACTCTTTTTCGTTCTCGATCTTCCAGTGACCGTACTATTCACTGAAGAAGCTCAATCCATATAAAGGGTTTACCTGGTGAAATGAAACTATCTCTACTGAAGGAAAGGGCTGAAATCGATAAGTTCAAACAAGTTTAACCTCACAGAAATAGGTAGTGCCATACAAAGATTAAAATGTTACACTTACCTGTGAGGAGTAAAAGCTGTAGCAGAGCCAGGCTCACGTGAATTCTAGCCATTCCGTCACGCGATATACACCCTCCTTCACGTATGAAAAGAAGTTGCATGAGATGACTTCTTTTTATAGACCTCCCCTTGCCGCAAACACACACATTTAACATAAATTAGGATGTTGCAGTCCTGCTCGACACCAACAATGACTTCCCTTGACATCAGCCTTGACATTAGCCTTAAGTTCCGAGTACTACGGTAGGAAACCGGAGGCAAACAGCAATTTGACGCAAAAAAAAGAAACAGAAAGACTGTGTGGCAAGAATAGCCTTGAGGCTTTTGTTTTGCCCGTTGTGGAAAAATATAAAATATTTTAGTAAAATAAAAAAAAAATTACAACAACGCCCGCAACATTCATTATGTACGAGTAATACTTGGTATGTCGCTAAATTATCTTATTTCGTACGATCCAATAACCATTTTGTTTTGTTTTGGGGGAGGGGATATAAATGGGTTGTAAATGTACTCGATTGAATTTTAAGGGAATCGATTGTACATCAATGCATCTAGCTTACAGATGTTTCAGAAAAACCGGGTGTGGCTTAATATGTTCACACATTTCGCCTCCTAATTCCTTCCGCGGTTTTCTTATTGTCTATAACTGCAATCTCATCGGCGGCAGAGCGACGGTAAGGTGTTCGGAGCTATCCACGCCCGGGGTTTATTAGCTGCTCGTGAGTATAAAAAATTTTCACGTACGTTTAACGTAAATAGGCCTTCATTCCAAAGAGTGCAGTAACGCCAGCGACTCAAATAGAAGCTTGCAACTAGCTGTGGATAACCGGCTGCATAGCAGACGATGGAAGCGAAAGAAGACACACAGGAGCTGGATAGAGCATGCACCATCTGTGCAACACTTCTTTCGTACTATCTTCAGTCTGAAGGGGTAGGTGATGATGTGGGTGGATGTGGAGCACACAGAACGTTCGCATCATTTATTACTTCGTGCGTGCTTCTCGCGCTGATCCTTACCCCGCACAACGGTGGCTGGAATGCATCTCCGACTTTTGTGTTTAGCGTCCTATTTCACCCATGAATAGAAAAAGGACAGAAAGTGGCTAAAAATGACGCCGCACAAGCTGGAGTGTAGCGTCCTGTCAGATGTCGTAATCCTGGTGGTTGGGCGTCGCAGTTTTGGAAAGAAAGCGCGAAAGAACGAACGTGTAGCGCTCGAGGCGGCGTCCCAACTGGTAACTGCACGAGCTTGAGCAGGAACGTCGAGCTAGTGAGCGACCTGGAGTAAAACAGCCGCTTGCCGTTAATATACTACCGAGGGAAATTCGTAACATGCTTCGAACAGATGTTTGTGTGAATCTGTGAATCTGCTTTCTAAGTGCAATGTTAAACTGGCCCGAGTAAGTCCTCACAAATATTCATAAAAACATGATCTAGGTTTATATACTTGACACTGCAGATACTTTTAGTAGATGGTTCCGATAGCAACATCGGGTAATGATACAATGAGGATGAGAGGACGCCGGCGGAGTATCGAGTATAGGTAGTGGAGGCAGCGGAACGCTCTACTAAATCAATCAGCAGCATAAACAGAGCAAGTTCAACAAAATACAAAACATCAGAAAGGGGGGAATAGCCGGAACGAAAGCATTTTGGTATTACCGGTCACTAGATCCACTAGAAAAACTGGCAAGGCATGTAGTACAAATATACAAAAGACAAGGATCAAGTAAGACAACCCCGAGTGGGCTCTCTGTCACCTTCCATCGTGTTTTCTTCGCCAGGGCAGGAGAAACGTACATCTTCGTGTTTATTCGTTTTTGTCCTTGACACCGTTTCACCCTTTCCAACTTCTTCAACGTCTCCCACCACCTGCACTGACATCAAACGCGGGTCCGTACCCCCTCGATTCGCAGGCTCACAACTTGCGTAACAGATGATGTAGCCTCGCGCGAGGGTGTCGAATTCTCTTTGTCTTTTATGTGCGCTACTTTATTCTAGCACGCTCTTGAGGCATGCTGAAAAGCGCCCGGTGCTAGCCTAAACGCATCGTTTTTGAGGGTACGGACGATACTTCTTTTGGTCTACTTGTGTGGGCATGGTGGCCGAGTCCACTCCTCAATTCGCAAAGGGAAGGGGGAGGGGAGGTTAGGCCATCTAGGGAGTGCTGAAA